GATGAGCATACAATCCGCTGGAGAGAGGCAGAGCGAGTACGAGCAGCCGCGATCAGAGAAGTTGATGAACACTATGCCAGCACCAGCACCAACAGTCGAGAAGAGGTCATCTACCACTCCAATGGAAGCACAAACACCGAGGTCCTCCCCATGGCGGAGTACATCAATGGAATTCTGGGAGGAAGGAGCCCTCCCCCATCCCCAGTTCCAACACCGTGAATCCCCAACACTCCCCTGGCCAATCACCCTGATAACCATATCCCGGGTGCTGTACCTCCTAGTGACAGGTAAACTTGCCCGAATTCCTGACATACTCCTTCACATGTCCCTGATCAACTTACTTAATCATTTTCTCGTCAAACTAGTAGCAGATCAGGATTGGGTTGAAACCCTGGCCAGAATAGACTATGCCCATTTTGGATACAGCTACATCATAACAGAGGAAGCCAGGCACTTTGCCTGCCAAGCATACAATATAATTCATCCAGATCGCCCTGTTCAGGTACCAGATCGATATCAATGACCTGAGCTCGATCTACCTGATGACATCCTAGGTCCCATAAATGACTCACCTCCAGTACCACCACAATGGGCTACCATGTCTACCTACGCATACACAATGCCAAGCTACATGTATCCCTGAGGGTACGGACCACCAGGTTCACAAGGACCATCCTGACTTTTCGCTGCTGCTGATGATGGCCCAGGACCATCTAATCAACCAAGCAAACCCCAACCACCATCTGGGCCCCCGCCACCACCACCTGTCATTCTGCAAAGATGGGCACCACCCCGTTTTCCATCACCGCCTAAACCACCAGATCCACCTAATTCATGGCTGTTAACCGCCACCGATCAGGGACCATGGGCCACACTAAAGCCCAACATGGTCAAGGAGCCCAAGGATTTCAATGGCGACTCCAACAATATTGCCCAATTCTTCTTGCATTGCGACATATATTTCTCCGTTTTCAATCAGTACTTTCGGGACCACCCTCACAAGGTCATCTTTTGCGCCTCACGCTTCAGAAAAGATGCCCAAACGTGGTGGGAACTATGCGCAAGGGAACTAGGAAGGAATGTCAACGGGGATCAGGTGTATCTGGCCTATGAGCAGTTTGTGGAAGAAGTCAGACGACAATTCTGGAAGGACGCCAATGCCGAGATCAAGTTTGCGCAGTGGGAAAGGCTCCGACAGAGCAACTTCCCCAACGGTGACTTGTTCTTCCAACAATTCGAGTCACTTGCATTCGAGGCAGGAATTCTTGGCATCAACCAGATGATGATGGCGCAGGTCAAGAAGGCCTGCTGATTGTCCACCAAGGATATCATCTATGCCTCAGATGAAGACATCCCAACTACCTACCAGGAATGGAAGCAACGGATACTCCGGATCGATCATAATTGGAGAACACAGAAAGCAGAGATGGGGGCAGGAGCCAAAGTAATGGAGTAGAAACAGCAGGCGAAGACGACACCTTTGTCGAAGGGAAACCAACAGCAGCAGACCAGTGTCCTGGAGAAGAAAACGGGAACTGGTACAACATACGGAGGAACGGGCACACCAATGGAAATCGACAGATTGCGCTCTAAGGTGAAGTTCTTCCAATGCAGCAAAATCAGACACTTCAAATGGGATTGTCCCAAGTCACCAAAGACAAAAGAAGAAGCGATACAATGACTCAATTATTATTGGGACCACATTGCTATGCAGGAAAAGACGGATTCAAAGATCGAAGAGGTAAAAGATGGGGCCGAGCAGTAAACAATTCGACTGACTCGGCCAAGGACTTAGTTTCATCTGGTATGCCCTTGTCGCCTGCTAGTCAGGCTTATTGTACTTTTGTAGTTGAACATACACATTCGAATATACCCACTTGCAACTTAACCAGGACAGAAACTAAGGAAGAATTGAAACAGGCAACCGGGGCTGCCACCCCCGGGATTGTGCAACCAGCTAAACATGTGGCAAGTAACTCATCATGAGCGAATGCTGAACACGAAAAGTCACCTACCATAGTGACACCCCTCTCAACGGCGTCGCTACCATCTAGCAGCTTCATTGGAGTGTGCGCCAGGGTGCGGGCATGACCAGAGGGGACAGATGAAGTACCTAGTACTGACTCTGCTACTGCCGCCTCGCACAACCGCAAGATGCCTCAATGGGGCCCCAGCCTCACTGGTGGTATAGAGAAAATAGCTATGGCGAAATCTCCCCTGATAACTGAGGGATCCGTGAGCAGAACAAAGTTGAAATCTCCTTCCCAACAGGAGGCTCTGGCGACACACCGGACAAGGAACAAGAACAAAACCATGCACAGCAGACCAATTGCATGGTCTGACAACCAGCAGCAGAGCAAGAGTCCCAGGAGTGTGAGCCAACAGCAAGACGATGGTTGGTGCCAGGTTGGCAGAGGCCCTGGGAAAGGAGAGCGAAATGATTTGCTAAGCCCCAAGGAAACAGGCCGGGCTGGTAAGACCATTCATTCGGCACAAGTCGAGCCTGCTGCTCTAAGCGGCTCCGAGGTCTAGCCGAACTTGCCGCTATAAGCCAATACTCCCCCAGGTGATCCTGATGAAACTCATGAGACAAGAACCGTTGGATGCACAACGGCCCCGATTGCCGAAGGACAGAAAGCTGCTAGCACCCAGGCGGTAAAAAGGGGGCTTCAAGTACAAATAGAGGAAGTTCCAGACGATGAAGATGATATGAGTTTCTGGCAAAGTCATAATACTAACCAAAAATCTTGTATAGTTCCTGAGGTGACCCAGCCAATGGTAGCCAAACCAATAGGTTATGGTGCAAAGGCTGAGAAGGTCCCATCCGAATGGACATTACGAGAAGTTAAGGAAGCCAAGACGGAGTCGGAAGCAAAGGCAATCCTAAAGAACTGGATACATAAAGCACAAGTGGAAGAAGTAGTCGACAAGATGCTCAAGGGGTTATGAGGAGCCACCCACATTAATGCCTTGATAGACTAGTAAGAAGGACTATTCAACAGATGAAAAGCATAAAGAGAACTTAAAGACTCATACCTGGTCATCTGCAATTATCCATTTGACAATTGCATCAACAAATGCTTCATGGGAGTAGTTGGGAATGGTGAAATCAACAGACAATGGTCCCTCTTTGAATTTGGCAATACTATTCTCACACCAGAACCTTTCAGCTGCTCTGATTCCCACACCTTTGACTAATACCCCCATTTTGTCACATGCGGATACCCAGAGCCACAAGTGATCCTTGATGAGGTGATATTGTAGACCTGTCATACCAGTTTTGATACTGTATACCTTATCTTTGCCATTCTTCTTGTGTTTGTCACCCCTGCTAGCAAGTGAAATTTGAATGTAAAAGTATATCTCAAGAAAAGCTACTCACCAACAGAGCTTACACATATGGTGATCACCTTCCTTAATATAAAAGGACCATACATTGTCAGTGTTTTGACTGCTATCCTTTGCAGACAATGATGATGAGCTGGAATCAGAAGAATTGGACAACATAAGATTCTGCACATCTGACGTCAGTGATCCTGGGACTGAGGGGAATGACCCATCTGCGAATGATGAAGTTCTCGGCAGATCAAAATGAACAAATTGATATGACACTGCATTAGCTGGGGTGGTGCGAGTAGGTGTTGAAAATGGTGATGAACTGTCACCAGGACCTTCAAGGGCATGCAGTGATGATGGTGGAAGCAGCAAAGCTACAAAAGGACTTTCTTCATCATCTTCTTCAAGTTCCTGCATGACGACACCTAGATAATACCAGTGTTAGAACCATATCCAGACCAACAGTGTGTTAATGAATTTACGCATTGATCGCAGGGGTACATCTTGTTCAGGGTCCTGCTGACAGTGCAGATGGCCATGTTGGGGTCTACTATCTTGCTCTTCATCAGTATTTTCAACTGTATGCTGTGCAGTATGATGGCTTCTTGTTGGTGGTGGTATTTCCTGGGTGTTTAGATCATGAGATTTAAGTCAGAACAAGTACTTGCAATGGATGAATAAGATGTGCTGACTAACCTCGTACACTGTCCCTACTTGTAGGCATTGGAGGTGTGGAATGGTCGGTGACTGTGTTGGAGGGCTTTTCCTTTCGGGAATGTCCTTTTGGTTGTGTAGCTACCAAATTGTTTAGCCAAAGTTCAGGTGAATGGATATATGACATACTTTTCTGGGCTGCCTTTTTGGTGGTCTTTTTCTTTGCTAAATTTCCATTGCTACCTGATTCTGTTGGCTATTTGTGAATAGATGATGCTTGATTAAAGCAGCAAATATACCTTGGATAAAACCTTCAACCTGGAACGTAGTTTGGAACCCTCCACCAGGCATGGCCTTTTCTGCTTCAGATGCATTTTGCAATCCTCTAAGATGCAGGGGCATGTCAGGACTGAGAGGTAAGTATGCCAAAGCAACATATCAGCCTTTATATATCATAACACATGCCAGTGACACATAGGCTGGTGTTAAGGGCATGGCCTGTTGCTAGAAAAGATTTGAAAATCCATGGGAATCCCAGGAATGAGGAACACTTTAATGCCCCAGAGAGAGCTAAGGAACCCAAATGAAGGAAAAAAACAGTTCTATTTGGTCTCAGTAGACTCCCATAGGAAGGAGTATGTGGCTGCATAATTGTATTCATAGTTAGATGACACTGAGGCAGTTAATAGATCGCAAATTGGGGCCTGGAGCAGTCTGGAGAAGCAGAATAGTGTTGAAATGTATGTAGAAATAGGAATATAACAGATAAGATGCAGGAAATCATCATAAACGATGATGAAACTGAAGGAATCAATGATGATGCTAATGTACACATTAGCATCCCATTTAGAAAGCAGCTGATGGCTTGACCAGCTTTGGACTGGCTCAAGCCAAGGAAATGCCGAGCAAGGCTATGGCAAGCCAAAGAGCTGCTAATTTCAGCTGGGCTTGGCTATTTCTGGCTTGGCTCTATCAGCTTGGCAGCTTTAGCCCAAGCAGTGGCAACACTAGCCAGTATGGTATAGTGGTTAGCATGCACACTTTGGCTATGTCATGTGACATTATTGTAAATCTTTTTAAAATCCTGGGTTCAATTCCTGGAGCTGCCAGATTTTCTGATAATCACATGATTTGGTCTGGGTTTCTGTGCTGACTAATAGACCATACAGTACTGTGAAAATACCTTATATAGGCTGGTTTGTTCACTGACACTCCTGATGCATTTATTTAATCTGTCAACTGATACTATTTCAAGCAGAAAAGTAGCAGCTATAGGTGCACTGTAATACAGCAGCACTATCAAACCTAATAAGCCGCTTGAAACAATACAGTGTTCTAAGACCCATACAATAATTGATTGCAGGAAGGAGCACAAATGAAAGGAAGATGTAAGAAATTGGTACAGTTTTCCTATTGAATAAGACAATCAATGGCTGAGAAAGAAATATACCACAGGTACACTAACCCAAAAGATCTTGTATATGACATGGCTGAGAGTGGGAGAAGAGGTAAGAGCTGAGACAAAGAAGGGACAGTGTGTTCAACACACAACATCACAACATCCCAATGAAGACATTGGAAAACTACGGTGCATCATGTGCACAAACATTACCTCAGGAAAGAGATAAACCACCTTATCATATCTAATCTAATCCAAATGCAAAATTGCCATGGACCATAAAAGGGAGAAGATTGGGGTAGATTGACCCCTGTACACACCCCACTGGTGAAGTTACTGTTGGATAACATGCACACCATGTGATCAGACATGTTTGCCTAGTGAGTTAGGAACAGTAATCCATGTTTGCTTAGAAGGCAAACAAGTACAGTATACTACAAAATCTAGCTACTTAAATACCATTCTGTATCTTCTAGTACTTTCTTTCTGTTAGACCTGATATCTCAACAAGGGTAAATACACGGTTGTATCGCGTTCGTACAATCACCACTAAGTCCCATGAAGTTAAGACGTCAAGACTAAGGCTTTAGCGCTTAGCGAGTAAGAGAATGATTCGGTATGATTAAATGTTAGCTCAAAGCTAAGGAATATACAGCTTTGAGTAGACTACTTATATACTAGAATGAGGGTCTAATAATAAGGGCACCATGTTAGAAAGTGAATAAGCCAAATACATGGTGACTGAGATAAAGTACACGTCTGTGGAGTCTGACGTGCACGGTGATGATGTGAAGATCTATGAAGGTCTGGGGTTGCGGACCTAGAGATAAAAATAGATAAGCGCCGAAGATAAGATAAGATAAGAGGCACTTAGGTAAAGAAATGAATAAATTGTAACATTACCCCCCCTTTAAGGCAGGTGTCCCAACTGCTAGTAGATTTGGTTTCCCTTTCGCTAGGTCAACAATGATAGGATTTCCTTCTGCCTTTGCTTTTAGGGTATCTCGGTTGGGTCGAATGGCCCTTTCGTGTCTTGTGAAGGGCTGTCGCGGCCACCAAATTGATCCCAGTCTAGTTCTTGGTTGTACCAAACTTTTCGTCTGGTAAATGGGTCCGTATAGGATTGCCAATCTTCGAATGGCGTTTCTGTACGGTTCACCTTCTCGGCGAGGTAGTCGTCTATGAGTTCTTCTGCGTCCATGTCATTTTCTTGTACCCAGCTGTTTGATTCTGGCCCATAGCCTTTCCATTTGACAAAATAGTCTGTGACCCAGTGCCATGGTTCTCCGGCTTTTCCCCTGACTTTGTGCTCTCTATGGTCGAGGACTTTTTCGACCTCATAGTGTTCTTCGCCGTCGATGAGATCTGGCGGCAACGCAGGCGGTTGTTCTTGGTTTGGGAATGCGGGTGGTACATATGGGGTGAGGAGTGATTTGTTGAAGACTGGATGAATGCGCCAGCCTAGCGGGAGCTTCAATTTGTACGCTGAAGCTCCTACCTTTGCGAGGATTGGAAAGGGACCTGTTTGTTTGTCTGCGAGTTTCTTTTTGGGTCACGGAAGACTAAGGTTCGTCGTGTCGAGCCACACCTTGTCTCCTACTTGGTACTCGACTGCAGGTTGTTTCTTTTTGTCGTATTGGGCTTTCATTTGGTCGGCGGCTTTTTCAAGGGCTTGCTTGGCTTCAGCATGGATTTTTTGCATCTGTGAAACAAATGTGTTTGAGGCTGGCATTCTGAAGGGTGCTCGGGGTTTTGCGCCAGGGAGGAGGTCAGCATTATAGCCGTAGTTAACCTTGAAGGGGCTTTTGCCCATAGTGGAATGGGTGCGGTTGTTGTGAGCGAAAGCCGTGAGAGAGAGCCATTCTACCCAGTCGTCTTGGAGATGGTTGACAAAGATCCGGAGGTATTTTTCAACCTCTTGATTGACCCGTTCAGTCTGTCCATCTGTCTGTGGGTGATAGGCGGTGGATATGTTTGCCTTGATCTGTAACAAGTCATAGAGGTCTTTCATGAACTTGGAGACAAACACGGAGCCTCGGTCAGAGATGACCACTTGAGGCATTCCGTGTCTGGCATAGACTTCGTCATGTAAGATTTTGGCCCACCCTTCCGATGACAGCTCTGTAGTACATGCTATCAGTATGATTTCCTTGGAGAATTGATCGACGATCATTAAGATAGTGTCTTGACCATTGCACTTAGGTAAACCAGTGACCATGTCGACGGAGATATGAGTCCATGGTCGGGAGGGTATGGTGTTCGGATGGAGAGGTGCCGCTTTTGCTTGAGTGCTTGACTTGGTTCGTTGGCACGTTTCGCAAGCGCAGACATAGGCCTCTATGTCTTTCTTCATCCTAGGCCACCAATATTCTCATAAGACGAGTTCTTTGGTCTTCTCTATGCCAGGGTGTCCCACTGTCCTATGGTCGTGATGCATCACAATTATTTCTCCCCGTTGATGTGCTCGGTAACGGGCAGCATGCAAATGAAACAAGTGTCTAGATCGTCAATCTAGATACTAAGTCACACACACACACACACACACACAATCACCAATATTAAGTTTGAGGGTGAGTACAATAGAAGCACTCGTGGTGTACGTAGATTTTGATAATCAATTGGGTTTTTGCTTTAAAACAACTTCGATTCAAATCTAGAAGTGTTTACACGAGATACACTAATCGCGATAGCGAGGTATATGGGCATGGGGGTTTTGTAAGGTATAATTTGAGTGGCTTAGACTCGAAACGACTTCATCTAGAAGAGCTGGTAAGGCTTTAACTAGAGAAGCTTTAACAATCTAACAATCAAAGACCTAGAGGTCTACAAAGAGCGTAATTGCTCTGGAGTACACGGACTCGATTACAACACAAGCACACACACTTGCAACAAAGAACCGAAGTTCTACAAAGAGTACACAGACTCTACAAAGAACACACAGGTCCTGGCTTCAAGTACGAGACTTGCAAAGAGTACACAGACTCTAGAGTACACTGACTCGTTAACTGTTCGAACTTAAAGCGTTCTAGGGCTTATTTCACTTCAACTACGCAACGTCTTTGGTCTGTGGTCGACTTAGCACGTCTAGATCACTTTAGTCAGTGAGAGAGCACGAGGCCTTTGTATGCGGAGCAGTTCAATTAACTAGCAAGGCGCAAACGCGGGGACGACTCTTCTTCCTACTTAGCTCTTCTAGATTACTTATAGCTGCCCTTTTGGAGTTGACTTGGTAAACTTAATTCACTTCAGTCGAGGATATGCGATTAAACCAGTGATTGATTAGGTAGCTATAAGGCTACTAGCACAAACACGGAGGAATGCTTTCCTGCTGTTATGCATCTAGTTGCTGCTAATTTATACGATTTCTAGCCTAGGTATAGGAGCTTGTATCTAAAAGTAATTATGGTATGAGCTCTGGGTATCAATACAAACGATGAGTAATTAATTTATAAGTATTGCACCATTCCGAGGTTTCTATTCAGTTGGGCGGAATGACTAGTGGTTATTCTATTGCTGAGGAGTGCCCTACTGGTCCGTAGGAACCCCTCGCTTCTCCTTCATGCCTTGTCGCGTGGGGTCCTATTCAATACTACGGCTTGCGCAGTATTTTGAGGATGTAACCACCGATCGCGATCGATCGTCGGACTGAGATTGTATTGCTTCGATCAGTATGCGATCTTAATTAGCTATCTCAGCGCCAAGCGTCGGTTATTCAGTTATTCCTAGGTTTAGTCGTGTTCTAGACTAAGTTCATTTCACTAGGTGTAGCGTTTGTGGACTTAGCAATTCTTCTCTAGGTTTATTCAAGTCGTCGAGATGACGAGCAATCTAGTCCTTCTGTGTTCTGCTTTATTGTTTGTATCTCATCTCAATGTGTCCCTTGGTTCCGACTTTAAATAGTCTTGTTTCGGGTAGGGAATAGCATTCAATGTTGAAGGCTTGTAGAGTTGACTCGTCTAGATGTCGCTTCTAAGTCCATCCTGACACTGTACTGCTCACTATCTTATGTAGTATACTAGCTATCAGTGTAAAGCCTTCACTATAGCTCTCTGTACCGCTTGTAGACTGTGCTAATTGATAGAAAATCGCAAAATCTACGGGTAGCCTGATACCAAGCGTATCACCGTAACGCATGATCTTGGGGAATATAGATACGGTGATCGTAGAAGATCAAACCGTCATCTAGCTTCATCCCTCGGTCATGGTTGAGAGATGTGGATATGTTCTTGTCCCATCGGTGGTGGTCAAGCGTGGCTTGCTTGATTTTGGTATGGACTTCCTCGATTGTGGGCATGACCATTGCCCGGAAGTGCTCAGGTTTGAGGACAATAACCTCATCGTTGTCCTCCTGTCCTTGCTTGTGATCTGCTCGTCGACTGAGTAAGTCGGCTTTCTTGTTTGCCGTTCCTGGTTTGTGATGCAGCGAGAAATGGTATTTGGCAAGCTCAGTTACCCAACGCACTTGGCATCAGTTGAGCTTTTGGGGTTTTCAGAAATATTGCAGATTTTGATGATCTGTCCATATTTCGAAGTCTTGAGCCACTCCCATTAGGTAGTGTCTCCACTCGTCCAGGGCTAGCATGATGGCCAGCAGTTCTTTGTCATAAATTTCATAATTTCGTTCCATAACTGTTAGGGACTTGGACAGAAATGCGACTGGGCACCATTTTCCGTCCTGCTCTTGCGACAATACAGCGCCAATTGCTCCCT